ATTCCCCCTTATAGATGAAAGTTGTTTAGCCGCTTCAGGCTTTCCTATGCCTAGCGGCAGTGATTGGGTCAGTTTTAATTTTATTTTTATTTATTTTATTTTTAACATTTTTATTGAGTTATAGTCATTTTACAATGTTGTGTCAAATTCCAGTGTAGAGCACAATTTTTCAGTTATACATGAACATATAAATATTCATTGTCACATTTTTCTTTTTTTTTGGTGTGAGCTACCACAAGATCTTGTATATATTTCCCTGTGCTATACCATATAATCTTGTGCGTCAGTTTTGCTGGAGAAAAAATAATTTTTAATTCTACAGTGCTTAGGAAATAATACAATCTGAATCTGAGAAAAAATTGACATAATACTGTGTGAAATGTTTCACAAGATATGCTTTTCAAAAATTTTACAAATTTTTAATTATGAGCTATGAAGCTTTCAACTCAAAGATCACTAAAGTGAACTTAAGCCAATATATGGGACATCCACCATCAGAAAACAACTCCCAACAACCAGCCTTTAATTTTATGTCAATAAGGATCACATAACATAAAATGCTGATACCATCAAGTTAATTTTTAAAAGTAGCATTCAAAATTGTAGAGATAATCCAATAATCTGCAAGTAAAGTAGCCTAGTTTTGAGTGATGTTGTCCATGACTACCTTCTCCTTTTAATTTTTTTCATATTTCCTTTAACAAAAAGAGCATTCATTTAAAATTAAAAAATAAGAAATATATATACATGTGTTTGTGTGTGTAAGAAATATAAGAAAAGGGCTAAGAGACACAAAAGACAAACTTCTAATTCAAGTGTAGATACTGGCTCTGTTAGTCAGTCCTTCAAGAGTTCCAAGTTGTTTATTTCCATGAGCTCAGAGAAATTAGACCACTGACTAATGTGCTGCTTGCTGGGTGCAGTGAGAACATCAACCTTTAAAAGGTGCCTTAAAAATGAGAAGTGTTACATGAACTGGTATTTTAGTTGTGTGAGTGTGTATAAACCTTTCTGGATATGACTTGCCATTTGGTCGGGAACTTATTTTTGGCCACTTAATTTGTATACGGATGTGTATGATTTCATGTATGTGAATAAACCTTGGCATTTGGACTATATTTGGCCGAAGAGTAGGTGTGAAATTATACACACGAGGTGGCCCAGAACAGCCAAATGGCAAGCCAATTATATAAATGTAGTCTTACTTAGCAAGAAAAAATTCTGGATTAGCTATCATAAAATCAGAATTTTAATCTCATTATTATTACAACTATTTCTTCTGGTACTACTGTTACTACAGCAACTCATGTCTATTGCACACTTATTATACATGTAAAATTTACAGAGTTGTACATGAGCTGTTCCATTTTCACCTAATAATAATAATCCTTAAAGTGAGGTAAGTATTATCACTACCACAGAAAGATAAGGAAAATGATGCTGGGAAAGATTAAGAATCTCAGCCAAGTCACACCTTCATAAAAGACAAAACCCAGATACACTGAAGTAAAACATCAAACAATTAAACTTCATGGAAATTCTGCCTTTAATACATCATGTGACTTTGGGCACTGTGAGCAGCTTTACATATTAGTTTTATTATCTGCAAAATGGAGATGATCATATGTGCCCTAGAATGTGTGGGAAAAGTACCATAAAAAATGAAAAGTGATGTTTGCATAAAGGATTGCTATTAAAATATCTTCCCCAGTCCTATAATCCCAACAGATAATTTACCCTTATCTCAACTGTAAGACTAAATATTAATGATCAACAGAAGACTACACAAAAGCACTGGCTCTGATACTAAGTATTTTTAAAGTTTAAATATACATTGCAGTTCAGTTCTGTCAAGGATCCCCAGACACAATGTACAGAATACATATTGTAAAGTTACACATACACACGCACACACAAATAAAAGCTAATCACTAAGCATACAAAAACTTGTACATAAGTGTTTACAGACGCATTATTCATAACAGTCAAAAAGTAAATCAATCCAAATGTCCATTTAATTGATGCATGGATAAACAGAATGTGGTAAAGCCACACAGTTGAATATTACTCAGCATTGAAAAGGAATGGGGCAGTGATCCCTGACACATGTTGACATCGATGAACCTTGTAAATATTACGCTAAATGAAAGAAGCCAGTTACAAAAGACCATATATTATGTGATTCTATTTATAGGAAATGTCCAGAATAAGCAAAGGAACAGGGACAGAAAGTAGTGATAGCTTAGGGACTGAAGAGGGAGGGAGGGGGGCTTCTTTTGGGGGGGATAGAAAAATTCAGATATGGTGGTGATGGCTGCACAACTCTGTGAGTATACCAAAAAACACTGAACTATATACTTTGAGGGAGTGAACTGTATGATATGTGAAATATATTTTGATAAAGCTTTTAAAAAGCAAACAAAATGTTAGTCATCATTACCCAAAGGAATTTCTCAAAAACTTTCTTATTTGCAAAATTTCCCTCAGCAAAAACTGTATGTATGAATTCATAAAAGTATATATACAATGTAATAAACATACACACACACAGACACATACACATTAAGTTTTTTCTAACTAGGACTTTGAAAACCAGCTTCACGACAGGTCCTTGCAGTTACAAGTCTTCATTAGGTGGTCAGGCCAATTTTAAATTGTCTACTTTTTGGCATTTTCACTATTTCCCATGCGAGAGTACGTCGGAAGATAATAAGATCTCAGAGGACGTTTTTTTCTTCCGAGTCAGCTGAAATTGTCCTGACTTAATTTCAGTCCATTTCTCCTTATTATATTCCTTTTGACAGCCTAATCCCTTTCCCTCCTTGGTGGCAATATCCTCTACCTAAACCTGAGTACCTGTATACTCTATCCTCTACCATAATCACACCTCAGCACAGCGGGTGTAAAATTACCTGGGTCTCCCAATTAGCCTAGACATTACGGGCTCTCAGAACAGGCATCTGAAATAATGTCTGCAAGGTTTTATTTGCTTAGTCTTGATCTAACTTTCATATACTGTTTAAAAACTTGTCACTTGTTAAAATGTTAACAATATAAATTTATGTATAATATGTATAACATATAATATATATGTAAATTACATGTCTCTTTAATATATAATGTTTTATATATTATGGATCCAATGAACTTCTATCCAGTGAGCCTGGTTATTGCCCATTTTAGGGCCATTTGGCAATACTGAAATCTATATCCTAAGAATACACTAGGTTAAAAATAGCTTCTCTTCTAGCACCCTTTTCCCAGAGAAACGACATACTCAGAATAAATTCAGAGAAGTATTTTAGATAATGAAATTCACCATGAATTTAATGACAGAAAGTAAACAAGATTCATCAATGTTGTGTGCTAAATTTCAGGAGCAGTAAGATTATGTTCACCAAAACTGATCTCCACATTTTATCTGCCTGACATAAAAAATAAAAAAACTTCTCAGGTTCATACAGATACATGAATCTATTAATAGTGTAAGTAGAAAAGTATCAATAAATTGCTGTTGAAATACCTTTCATATTTCCCTACTTTGTCACCAGATGAACTTCTTAAAATAATCTCACTCCAGCTCACCTTCTAAATAATCCCTTGTGTACACTGGGGAAAAAAAGGTGATATTTGCAGATACGTGTTATACAATATATACATTATTACAATATCTTAATTTATATTCTTTCCCTTAATATTTGTAAAGGAGTTTGGCATTATTGTTGTAATTTTACCAATAAGGAACCAGAGGGTTGCAGATACTAAGCAAGATAACTTGCTTAAGGCACCATACCGAGTATATGACATAACTTGAAGTTGGATCAAGTATTACTTCAAAGACTATCTATGTTCTTTCAAGCATACCAGTTATCGCCACAAAAGCATCCTGATTATTTAAGATCTAAACTCAAGAAACAAATATTAACAGTTTAATTTCTTCCAATAACTGTTGCAATCTATACTGCACTGAATCAGCCTTCTCATTCAGTAAACCCCTCTTAATAGTGTCTTGGCTCAAGCTCATAGCTTTTCAGCCACTCCAGAGTTCCTCTCGGCCACTCACCCAGTACAAGTCAGGGCCTTGGTTGTAGCCACGAGGGTAGGGAGGGTGTGGATACAGGTCTCGGTTGGGATCTCACCTACGGACCTCCTTCTCTCCCTTTCACTAGGGCCAGCTTCTTCTTAGACATTGGCTGAGGAAGTTGGGGAGAAAAAAGCAAAGAAAAAGCAAAGCTTTCCTTCCTAGACCTGGTCAGCTGTCGTGCTCCTTCAGTCAGTGGGAGCTGATTTTCTAGCTTGTGATGGCTGGTGCCCAAATGCTGGCGTCCTTCTGACCTGTACGGCACTGACTTCCCATTCAACCACTTTCACATCTGCTCAGACAGTAACTCATGGTAACGGGGCACCCTCATGCAAGGCGCAGAACTCTTGTGTGCCAGCACCACCAGCTCGCTCCCAGAGACTTCTGGGGTACCCCGTGAGTGAACGGGAGCTAGCATATCCTCACTACACTGAACAGTGAGTGTGTGGGTTGCTCCACCATTGCCATCCATGCATCAGCCCGCTGACTGATGAAGAAGAAAGCCACGCAGGGACCACAACTCTAGTCTCCTCATCTGATAGTCCTCGCCCATCTTTTTGAATCCTTCTCATAGGGTATCCTGTTCTGGCTTGGAGAAGGAAAAAACAGCTTTTCTTCAAGCACATTACATTCACTAAAATGTCATCTGTCCCAGTTTTCTCTCATTTTGATTTAGAGGGGAGGTAGTGATGAAAGGGCTGGCGTCTCTCAAAAGCCTGGAGGGGTTGTGGTCTCCTCACTGCCCAGAAGCCCTCTAACTTTGGATGTGAGGCCCTGAATACCTACTGTCCTCAGCTGTGGCCCGAGAGTCACTGAAGGAGAACAAGGAAAAGCTCATCATACATTTAACTGCATTGGATGACAACACAAATTTTTCTGGCTTTAACTCATATTTTTGTAAAAATCACGCCAAGATAGCTCTCAAAATGTGCTAACATTCCTGTGTTAACACATTTGATGTTAAAACATTTGGGTCTTTTTGTCTACTTTAATGCTATAAAAAGTGATTATATTCAGTACCTTGTAATAGCCTATAATAAAAAAGAATATGAAAAGGAATATATATACATATAACTGAATCACTGTGCTGTACATCAGAAATTAACACAACATCGTAAACGAAAAAAAGATTCGGTTTCTCACATCAACCCATTTAATACAAAGACTAAATATATATAATTTCCATTTCAAAGTTGTAGCAAACGTGACATTTTAGTTTTCTGCACACCACTTATTTCTTCATCCTAAATTTTTCCGGTCCAAGCTTAAGTCAAAACAGTACAAGAATCCATGCCCACCATCCAAGCAGAAACAAGATTATGAGACTGTGAAGTGTGGAAACAGGAAATGATCTAAGTACCCTTATAGCCTTCAGCACCGGATTGCTCCAGCTCTCTGACAAAGCTATGATTTCAGCAAAACAACAACAACAACAAGAACAACACCTAGTAGAGTTAGGCACTCCTTTCAGAGAGGCACTCCTTTCATCTCTGGTCCTCAGAGCAGGGCCTCTAAAGAGATTTTCTGAAAAGCCTCAGTGCTCTCTGCCAGCCCAATTCTGAGAGCAGAGAGGAGCCAAGGTCCCAGTGAAGCAGCTGCTCCAGGCAGACAGTGGCCATCAGGAGATAGGGGACATACAAGAAACCAGGGTTGGGCCTGCCTTCAGCCAGCATCCATCTGCCAGGACCAAGACTGAGGTACTTAAATAAAGGAAGCAGAGTCATCGTCTTTTGGGATTTCTATTCAGCTCTGTCAGAACCCAATGCCTACATCCTTAACCACTTAAGTACATATATTACTCAATAAAAACACGGACAATGTTTAACAGGGATTTGATTTATTCTACTAACGAAACAATAGATGTGATTTAGTGTTTTCAAATTGTTTATGGTTGTTCCAATACAAAATGAGTGGGATGAGAAATACCATAGATTTAAATGTTAGCTGTGCTTAAAGCCTCTGCAACAATTAACTGTGCAACCAATGTGTGTATTTATTAATGATGTATTAATATATAATTATAGTACTGCATTATAGCTTTATTAATGCTCTATTTACTAATAATTATGATGCGGAATTAATGATGTCATTAATGTTCTTTATCTTTCAACTCTCTAATATCCTTCTTCTAACCAAACAGAAAATTATACTTGCTTGGGTAAGTATTATCACTTGCAAGCAAATAATAAGAATTTGAA